TGTAACAAACTTGTGGATTATATTATACCCTGTTTCCCCAAAAATAAGACATCCCCTGATAATAAGCCCAATTGGGCTTTTGAGCTCATGCGTTAAAATAAGCCTCCCCCCCGAAAATAAGCCCTCCCCAAAAATATTTAAATGCAGAGCTGGAAATCAGGTAAGACAGCAAGAGGAGCCCCATCTTGTTCCACGTGCCCCAAAGTAATAAAATCTCCCCCAAAATAAGGCCAAGCAGTTATTTCGGGGTTCAAAAAAAATATAAGACGATATGAATATGAACTGTGCGGAATAAGATCGGCTTACTATGATACTGAAAGGACGAGGGGACACAGAGTATTATATATCTTGGAGTCAATGGTACAATTGGATGTCAAATCGAGCGGCAAATTGATGTATATGATAACATGTTATTTGGTATACGTAATAGATTTTTCTTGGCTATCCTATGTATGTAATGGGACAATTTTACTTCCTTCTCGCGCTGTGATGTAGACCGCTATAGATTTAAGGTTTGTTTGATGCATAAGACAAAATAAAAATAAAAATTATATATATATATATATATATATATATATATATATGACGGTCTTATTTTCGGGGAAACACGGTATTAGTACAGGGAACTTAAAAATACTCTTTTCAGCATCATATTTAATGCCCAACTGCACTCTTAAAATCTGCAGATCTTTATGAATAAAAGCTGGAGCAAATAAAGAATAGTGGCAGAACACTGACTCAGCCTGCAGACCTCCTGCTTTTCTAGTTAGAGTTAGACTAATTAAGCCTAATTGAGCCTACAGCAAAAGATCTGAGGCTGTACGGAAGGCCTGCTGGGACAAAGAAGCGATGCCTGCTTTCCCTTTGAAAATACAAACAGTGACAGTTTTATCTGAAGCTGGCTTTGGGGTAGAGGTTGGAGCATCTCAAGTACGATTCCCAGGTACAGGATCTCCTGCTTGAGCAGGAGGTTGGACTAGAGGACAGTGTGGATAAAAATCAATCATTTTTTAAAAAAAATCAAAAAAATCAGATTTTTTTGATTTAAATTGGATTTTTTTGATTTAAATTGGATTTTTTTGATTTTTATCAAATTTCTTTTAATAAAAAACTTTTGGGGTAAAAATCTATCATAAGATAGTTTTCTATTTAAGATACATAAATAATTTAGTTTATTCAGCATGAAATGGAGCTTAGTTACGTAGCATGAGGCTGTATATTCTGCAACACTGGGACTATCGGTGAGTCAACAGTGGGTCAAAAGAGTAGCAGAGATGACAGTTGCTCTTTAAAAATTATGATTTAAATCGAGTTGATTTAAATCAAGCCTTTGTACTATTGATTTAAATCATGATTTAAATTGTGATTTAAATCAACTCGATTTAAATCAAATCCACCCTGCTAGAGGACCTCCATGGTCCCTTTCAGCTCTATTCTAATTGATTGATCTTAGTAGTCCCGGACAAAATAAAGGTCAGAATGAAATGGAAACCTTGAACATTCTTGAATTTATAACCTGTTAATTCAAATTAATAAATTTTTACTAGGCTGGCCTTAGTGGTCATAGTAAACTTTCCTGCCAATACAGTAAATTGTCCCATTTTTCTTTCGGTACATTCTTGAGAAATTCAAATTTGAGAATCATGAAGAGAGACTTTAAAAAAAAATAAACTCAGCTTATCATATAGAAAACAGTTTGTCTAACTGCTAAAATACAGATATTGTTTTTATATATAGTCTCTCTGAATGCTCCCCAAGTCCTGTTGTCTATGTGTTTCTGGGAGGATGAATGAAGAATGCCAGGAGTGTATTCAAGAGTATATATTTATCAAGGCAGCCTTCATGGTCAGCCCAGCTGTCCAGCAAGCAGGCATTTATATTGAATTGCAGCAATATATTTATTTATTTATTATATTTCTATACCGCCTTTCTCCCGTAGGACTCAAGGCGGTGTACAGTCAAGAAAAAATATAGATACACAAACATCATAAAATTGCTAATTAAAATTATTATTATAACATAGTTTGGCCCAATTAAATAGAACCCAAAATTAGATAACATTTTAAAATCATTCACATGTTCATATGTTTAGCCCTGCCTGTTGGAACATCAGGGTCTTGAGGGCATGGCGGAAAGCACGGAGATCAGGGATATTTCGTATCTCAGGGGGCAGTTCATTCCAAAGGGTTGGAGCCCTCACAGAGAAGGCCCTCCCCCTGGGAGTCGCCAGTCGGCATAATTTGACTGACGGTACCCTGAGTAATCCCTCCCTGTGAGAACGAACTGGTCGGTGGGAGGCTATTGGTGGCAAAAGACGGTCTCATAGGTACCCAGGTCCTAAGCCATGGAGTGCTTTAAAGGTGATGACTAACACCTTGAATCGCACCCCGAAGACCACCAGGAGCCAGTGCAGCTCACGTAGGAGAGGTGTTACATGGGCTCAACGAGATGTGCCCATAATCACCCGCGCGGCCACATTCTGGACCAGTTGGAGCCTCCAGGTGCTTTTCAAGGGGAGCCCCATGTAGAGAGCATTACAATAGTCCATACGGGAGGTGACTAGGGCATGAGTGACCGTGCGCAAGGTGTCCCGATCCAGAAAGGGACACAACTGGCAGATCAGGCGAACCTGATAAAAGGACCCCCCTGGCCACGGCCATCAAATGCTCTTCTAAAGATAGCCGTGAATCCAGGAGGACACCCAAGTTGCGGGCCCTCTCTGTGGGGAGCAAGGTCTCATCCCCAATTGTCAGTGATGGTACCAGCTGACCATATCGGGACTCCAGAAGCCACAGACACTCGGTCTTGGAGGGGTTGAGTCTGAGCTTGTTTCTCCCCATCCAGATCTGCACGGCCTCCAGGCAACGGGACATCACAGTAAGGGCATCGTTGGGGTGGTCTGGGGTGGAGATGTATAGCTGTGTGTCATCAGCATACTGATGAACACTCACCCCAAAACCACGGATGATCTCGCCTAGTGGTTTTACATAAATGTTGAACAGAAGGGGTGAGAGGACTGACCCTTGCTGCACCCCACAAATAAGGTGCCTCGAGGTTGACCTCTGCCCCCCTGCCAACACAAACTGCGAATGATCAGAGAGTAAGGAGGAGAACCACCAAAGTATGGTGCCCCCTATTCCTAACCCCTCTAGTCGGTGCAGTAAGATACCATGGTCGATGGTATCAAAAGCCGCTGAGAGATCTAATAGGACCAGGATAGAGGAGCAACCTCTGTCCCGAGCCCTCCAGAGATCATCAACCAATGCGACCAATGCCGTTTCTGTGCTGTATCGTGACCTGAAATATATAGAAAGATACCAGCAGTTGATGGGTGTCCTCATTTCTGGGGGAGTGGTGAAATCCAAATCTTTTTACTACTGGTTCTGTGGGCATGGCTTGGTGGTGTGGCAGGGGAAGAATATTGCAAAATCTCCATTCCCACCCCACTCCAGGGGAAGGACGCTGCAAAATCTCTATTCCCACCCCCCTCCAGGGGAAGGATATTGCAAAATCTCCATTCCCTCCCCACTCCTGGGGGAAGGATATTGCAAAATCTCCATTCCCACCCCACTCCTGGGGGAAGGATATTGCAAAATCTCCATTCCCTCCCCACTCCTGGGGGAAGGATATTGCAAAATCTCCATTCCCACCCCACTCTGGGGCCAGCCAGAGGTGGTATTTGCTGGTTCTCCGAACTACTCAAAATTTCCGCTACCGGTTCTCCAGAACCTGTCAGAATCTGCTGGATTTCATCCCTGCTCTGGGGGCATGTTGTGTGCTGATTGCTGAGAGGAGAAGGCAAGAAAGACAAAGATTTCAGGAAGAGAACCTAATAAAGAATTTTAGAGCGCTCTTAAACAAAACAAGAAGCAATATAATAACATTTGTAAGGACACTGAGGCAGAAACAGACATAAGAAAACAAGAAAAGTCTTCCAAGATATTCTCTGTTTACAAAAACCTTTTACTAGAAAATGAAGTGAGATCTGATCTTTACCATGTTAAAAAAAATACAGAAATTGATGGAATTTTTGATAGATGGAACCTATAGAAATATGTGGACTACATAACGAGGGAAGCAAGGTGGAAGGAAAATGAGTGTGTTTTAAAAATTGGAGGAGGAAACATCAATAACTTGCATTATGCTGATAACATTACCCTGGTAGCTGAAAGTGTAAATGATCTGCAAATTCTAGTACTGTAATGAAAGGCGGAGCAACGAAAAAAATAGGACTATGAAATCATGGCTAAAATGTGATCTGAAAAGCAGCTCAATTTATATCCATATTACAACTAGTAATTTACCTTGTTACTGTCTTCTAAACTTTGCTAGCTCAGTAATTCCTAATATGGAACCATAGTTTTGATTTGGCCTTGCCCTTCTAAAAGAATGTTAGGTTAGAGATGCTCTACCAAAACCAGATAATTTGTTATCTAGCCCAGAAATTATATATTACCAGCCGCAATTCACAGCCTGTAGTAAAGATTTCTTTTTCCCAGGGATGCTGGGAATGAAACCTGGACCTCTTTTATTTATTATGCTAGTTTGTTTAGATTTTGTTTTCCCATTCTCCACCCCAATGGAAGCCAGACAGCATATCTGGAATCTCCAGGGTCTTCTAGTCCAGTTGTTGACAGCCTGCAAAATAACTCTACCATCTGTGCTCAGGCCCTTCCAGCTTGCCTGGCAAGCAGATGCTCTGCTCAGAGATATGGGCTCTACATATTGCAAGTCAAGGTCTTTCTATCTTTGAAATTCTGTATTACTCCTACTGTTTATCTTATTAATAAACACTTATTACTCCTACTATTATCTCCTATTGTTTTCTTTCTACCAGCTCCAGTGGACACTAAGTAGAGCTAGGGTTGGGTGGCTTTAAAGAGTGCTTCAGGGAGGCAGGGTGTATCTTGCTATGGCCTTTGCCCAATCCCTGAGCTGGGGAAGGAAGGTCTCATGAATATGAAAAGCATCTGTACTCTCTCTCTCTCTCTCTCTCTCTCCTCCCTTTCTTCTCTCCTCCTCCTAGTCTCCTGGCCATGAAGGCAGCAGCAGAGCAGCTGAACGCAGGATGCTGAAAACCCACAGGAAGCTTTTCCCGGGGACCCTAAAGATGCTACCCAGCTAAAGAGATAGCAGGCATTCAGGTAAGGCAGAATTTGAGATAACCTTGAGTATTTGTGGCTCACTGGGAGAACCTGCCTTTGGAGGGACTGGTCAGAGATTGCTTCGCCCCAGGCTCAGTTAGGATTTCTAGACAATGGATGTATGCTATGCTTCGCTTATCTGGAGGATGCAGGATTAGTGAAGCAAATGGGCCTTGCTGAGGGATACAAGAATTCTTTTCTCTCTACCTTTCTACATCCCATCCCATACCGCCTGGATTCTTCAAGAAGGGGGGAAAAAAGGGCAGCTGTAGCCCAGCCTTGTTCTTTGTATTACTGGAGGAAATGGATGTTGCCGCTAGCTAGCTGCTACTGCTTTGGTCTGCCTTTTGTTTGAGGATTTGTGTCTCTCTTCTCCCTCCACAGCAACACCCCCCCCCTTTTCAAAGATCAAATTTCCCTCAGTTCATGGCTGATTTCATTCATTTCGCTCTCCTCTTGGCTCTGGGTCAACAGCCTTGTGGAATTTGGAGGCTAAACAGGGTCGCATGGCTTTGTAACACCAGCATACAAATGAAAACTGATGGTTGAGTCTTTTTTTTAAAAAAAAAAACACAACTTTTTGTATGATGCGAAAGTTAAATAGAACGGCTGGTCTTTCTTTGCTGTTAGATAAGCATCCTTCTCTTTTGCTGGGATGGGGGTAGGAGAATGAAAAGAACTATTCTTTTTCTTGTTTATCAATGTCACGGGAATGATTGAATCAGAGATCTGGAGGAGGCAGGGGAGGGAGCCAACTTCGTGCCATTTGTTGTGCAGTGCTAGCTTGGGTTACTACCCCCACTCCCAATGAAATGCAACATAAGGTGGCATTCTGCACAATGATTTGTGCCGGGAGACACATGTGGGATTCTCTGGTGATGTGATGGCTTGGAACAAAAAGTTACTCTTTGTTTTGTTTGTAATCTGTATATTAGAGATTAAATGGGCATTTGACTACCATTTAACTAAGAAAATGTGTTGCCAGATTTTAGAAAAGAAAAGAATGGGAAAACATAACCATCAACCTCATTGCCTTTCTCACAGGCTGCACTTCGCTTGTTGGAGCCAAAGTTATGCAAAACTGCTCTATAGTTTTCCCCCCCTCTTTCTACCTTCCTCTCTAAATCATGTGCTATAATTCATATCTATATATTTATTGATCTCATTGAGATCCCATCTTTCATCTTATTCAGCAAACCATGATTAGGCAAATCATGACTTAAAATGAGAGTGAATTCACCCTCTCTTCTCTTTTGAAAGAAAAGCTGCTTCTTGAAGGGCAGACCTTAAATTCATGTAAGATTCTTCATGCTAATTCCGCCTGGCATCTTCAGGTAAGACTAAATATGGTTTTAGGGTGAACTTTCTAGCTGAAGCTCTCTCCACATGTACTGGTCTACAACTAATGCTGTCTGAGGGTGATGGGAGTTTTAATGCAACACATGTGGAAAACAGAAAGTTGGAGAAGGCACAATAGCTAATACTGATTGGACCAGTGATCCAATAAAGCAGCTTATTATTTTGGTATTTTTTATAATTAAGAAAAGGTAGCATAAAATAATTTAGTACGATTCTCCTCATCTCCATTCTAGCCCAGAGTTGATTCACTGGTGGCATCTTTCATTCAATACTCAGTCCGTGATTCCTTCATTCAGCTGTTCAGAAGAATTTAACAGATAATTCATATAATGTGCTTCTCTAGAATCTGGCATTATAGAATAAATACTGTGTCTGGAACTGAATTGAGTCTAGTGATTCACTTATTAATTAATAAGCATTGCCTTCTCTACCATCTCATTTTTGCTCTAAACATCATTAAAACATTAAATAGAGCAAGTAAGCATGAAAATAATCTGTTTTCTGTGCGGAAAGATAGATATGCAACATTGAATATTTAATTCACATAATGGTTGCAGTTACATATTTATCTTTGTCAAATTAGAAACAGCTAACAAAAAAACTGAGAGCCAATTTGGTATAGTGGTTAAGGTACCGGGCTAGAAACCAGGAGGCCATGATTTCTAGTACCACCTTCCACACAAATCCAGTGGAGTGACCTTGGCCAGTCACTTTCTCTCAGCTCTAAGAAGGAGACAGTTGCAAATCACTTCTGTAAAACCTTGCCAACCTATATTTTTAACAAATTCCTGTGGGGAATCCAACGCTCTTTTAATTTTTCTACATTTCCCCCAAAAAGATAAAGTTGGTCCCATTTATAGTCCTTGCTTAAAAATGGTCATGCTATTCAGTGTCCTCTCTCATTTCTAGATGACTGGGTGATCTAGGTGAGTAGGTGACTCAGTGGCTAAGACACTGAGCTTGTCGATCAGAAAGGTTGGCAGTTTGGTGATTCGAATCCCTAGTACAGGTCTCCTGCGTGAGCAGGGGGTTGGACTAGATGACCTCCAAGGTCCCTTCCAACTCTATTACTGTTACTATTACTTTCTCATGTATGTGGTTTTCACTATATCTTCGCAACATACCATCTTCCCTGGAGCTTCATATCAGCTCTCTGCATCTTTCTTCTGTTAACCAAATTTACTTTTCACATCCTTCAGACCTTCTGAATCTGAACTAACAGATAATGTTGCAATCCTGACCCATCACCTGAGTAGTTAAAATAGATAGGAATCTCTGTGCAACAATTTAGCCAGAGTTTTAGGAGATACATTCTTGGTCTTGGTTTATTGGAGAAACTAGTCAAGAGTTGAATCTAGTGGTTAGTGCTTGGAAGGGAAACTGCCACTGAAGGTCAGACATTATGGTATACTGGGAAATCACATAGACTCACATATATGTATATTACAAATCAGTTTTATATATTATAGATATATAGAGTATATTACAAATCAGTTTTATATTGTTGCCGTGGATACATCCATATAAAGATCCCAGGAATTGAACTCAACTCAAAGGCTTGACTTTTAGCAATTAATTTTCTCTGATCAGAGCCATGTAGAACAGCTCTCTTCATTCTCTGGTAATGCAGAATGCAAGAGATTTTGAAAGCTTCTACCAGAAAGAAAAAAATGATTATGTTGGCTATCTATTTCTTGGTGCAGTCTTCTCTTTCAAATGCCCTTGCTTGCTCTATGTCCTTTTTAAAGAGGTGTCTCCTCATTCAAACTTCATTTTTAAAAAATGTTTCCCCATTATCCACTTTCCTTAAGTTAACTCCTCCTCCATTAACAGTTGAAAGTACCCCCTCAATACACTGTTCTGAATATATTTAATTACCTGCATTGATTGGGGCTTTCTGACTAAACTTAGCTGCAAGCAGTAGCATATTGAAAAATGGCAGCTGGCAGCCTCAAGCAGTTCTCTGTATTAGATGAAGCCAACAGTATGTCATCTCTCTCAAGCTGTTAGGATGGAGCTGTCTGCACTGACTGTATATCTAATGCCTTTGTTGCTTTGGAACAATTTGGGTGCCACTCACAGTTGTCCTTTCTAAGCAATCAGAACCCAATCCAAACTTTTACCTTCAATTCCATCATTGACCTGTATTTAGCTCCATGTGCTGATCCATTTGTTCCTGCTCCATCCATGCTGAGACCTTTCATGATGTTGAAAAGCCAGTTTCTTTCTCTCTCTCTCTCCCCCTTAAAGGCAACTGTGTTCCATAGCTCAATAATTCCTTGATATTTGGGATTTCTAGGAGACGATCTCTGTCCTTTAAGGATGGGCTTGCTACATTTGGGTTTTCTTTGATGTATGGAGGAGAAGGATTAAAGTTTCTATCATGGTAGTTAAAGGAAGATTCCATGTCTAGTAATATCTTGGATTATTCATTACCCATTCTTGGATATTAAACATCAGTGAAAGTTCAGCATATTCCTGCTAGTACAGGAAATTCCAGGCAGCTGCTTTGGAAATGGAATATTGTAGCAGGCAAAATAGAGATGTTTTAATTTTTAGACTATGTTAGAATATATGTATATTTCTGGGGTCAATTTCAGTTGTTTACTCTATTGTATAGGGATGTAAAATTTATGGGAATCAGAAGTGTATAGAAGATAGGAATTACTAGGCAAGATACGCTGCTCAAAGAAGCATTTTTGAAATGCTTCAACCTGCCATCTTGAAGTTGTTTATTTTATTGATTTCATATACTTGTAAACCAATTATATTCTGCAGATTTAGAGAAGTCGGGAGAGAGTGGATTATTTAGATTCCTTTCAATACTGTTTCATACCTGACTAGAGGACCAAATGGGTGGGTGTAGCATATCCATCCTTGGTTTTCTTGACTCTCAGCAACCATGGTGACCTTCTGTAACAACTCTGGGGGTTGGGAATGAACAGCCTTATGCTGGGTCTCCTCTTTCATCCAGAGTCAGTTCTAGTCAGCGTTGATGGGGTAGGGCTTTACAGGGTCCCTCAGAACTTTGTGCTTTTAACATCTCCCATTTAACATCTACAAGAAGCTGCTGTTTATGGTTTTATCTCAGTGTCTGGAGGTTGTAGATTGGAAGGGGGAAAAACAGGCTTCAGCTCAACCCTAGCAAGACTAAGTGGCTGCATTGCCCTAAGCAGAACTGATGTGAAATCTGAGGATCCTTCTCGACTTGCAGCTCTTGTTCAGTGATCAGGTGTCAGACAAGGCCAGGTGGGTTTTGGTACAAACTTCATCTTATACATCGGCGACTCCCTTTTCTGGATCAGGAGGCTCTGCTTACAGTGACTCACACCTTAGTCACCTGCTGGGTGGATTACTGCAATGCACTGTACATGGGGCTTCATTTGAAAAGCATCTGGAAGCTATAGCTGCTGCCGAATGCGGCGATGCAAGCAGTTATGAATGTATTTTAATGTGCACATGTTACTCTTCTGTCAATGAGCTGCCTTGGTTGGAGATGTGCTTCCAGATGCAATTCAAGATGTTGGTGGCCAACTAGAAAGCTGTTCATGGCCAACTAGAAAGCTGTTCATGGCCAACTAGAAAGCTGTTCATGGCATAGGGCCGGGCTACTTTGGGGGCTTCTTGTTCCAGTTTGTTTCTACCCATCCTATTAGATTCAGCAGAAGAGACATTCTGTGGGTCCCATCAGTCAAAGAATGTCATCAAGAAGCAAGCTTTTTTTGGTTGCTACCACTGCCTTACGGAATACAGTTCCTTCTGAGATTAGATTGGCCTAACCCTTTTAGCTTTCAGAAGTCCCTTAAGACTTGGTTATGAACCAGGCATGGGGGTGAGAGCGCCAAGTGAGAGCTTGATGTACTGTTTTGGGGATTGGTTTGGTTTCTCAGCTATTGTGTATGTTGCTGCATTTTACACAGTTATAAACTGCGTGGCTTTATCAATAGAATAAACTGAGAAATGAATAAATTCAAAAGCAGTATGTGCAAAATAATGTTTGCACATTTTGTACAAACATAAAATCCCAAGTAGAAGTTGGAACTATATCATTCAAACTATAAATTTTAGCAAGCGTTAAAAGTTTTCAGTCAGCAGGCTTCAACTTGTCTCCTATGAAATAAGAAGCATGCTTTCTCATACCATGTCAGGTCATAGTCCATTTCCCTTATTTATTTCAGCTTGGAGTTTTCTTAAACCTACTTGGAGATGCTGCAGATAGAATTTAAAATCTTTTCTTTTCCATCTAAAGCAGGGGTTTCAAACCTGTGGCCCATGGGCCAGTTGCGTCACACACTGGCCATCCCCATCCCCGTTACAGCGAAGTGGGTGGGTGGGGAAACTTGCGATACATCACATTATGGCAATGTTTCATCATGAGTTTGACACCCCTGATCTAAAGCATGTGCTTTCTAGATCAGGAGTTTCCAACCTTGGCAATGTTAAGCCTGGAGGATCTCAACCCTGCTGGCTTTGCTGGCTGGGGAATTCTGGGAGTTGAAGTCCTCCAGGCTTAATGTTGCCAAGGTTGGAAACCTCTGATCTACGTAGATGATATACAGCTGCTTTGATCAGAAGCTTTCTTTGTCATAACAGTCAAAGATGAGTTGGGTTCTATCACAAGACAATAACTTTTTTTTACTTTATTTAGTGACACTCAGAATTTTTTTTTAATGCATGGAGACTTTGCTCTCCAACTTTGGAGAGATTCATATAAGGAGACAAACTTCAAGTATTCTGGTATCAAGATGTTTAGGGTTAGGACAATCATAATTGAGTTCATACATTGCACAAATCAATAGTTTCCTTAGCCAGGGTTTATTGAATCAACCACAATTAGCTTGGTTCAGAAGTTTTGAGGCCCAGCTTCTGTAAAATGCATCTTTTTAATTCAGAGAGGAAATGCTTTGAATGAGATGGAAAAAAACCAAAAGTAATTTCATTACAATAATAATGTGTCTATATCATAGCAAACTAGCTATGAATATTAGAGTTTTATATGATATTTCAATTTAATTAAAAAAAAAACTAATTTGAAAGGAATGGAAATCTGTTTTGCTCTATTTTGCTTCATTCTGCAGGACCTGATGACTGAAATAATTTGTTCTGCTCACTTCCATGCAAACTTTTCCTTGAACATGAGCAGCGTGAGGGGGTATCACACGTTCCTTGCCTTCTGCCTTATTCTACTCAACTTTGGCAGCCTGCAATGCCTTGTTTTAAGACAAGGGGACGAAAGGCATGAAAGACAACTGCATCTGGCATCACCAGCAGGGAACAGCTTAGCAGACACAAATGCATCAAATCCAGAGGGTAACTTCAGCTCATCCATGAATATAGCCAGTGCTTCTGCATCTGAAAGCCTTTATGGAGCCTCAGTAGAGCCATCCAAGAGGTCATTAAACAGAGCCACAACTGTAAAAACAACCTTACCAACCATTCTGCATGTTCACAATCCCTCGGAGCACTCAGATACGGATGCTTTTGCCAGCACAGGTCTGAAGATTGCTGCAGAAAGCGAAAGGAAAATCAGTCTCAATGGGCCCAATGAAAAACCGGATAAAAATGGGACACAGGAAGCTTTAATTGCCACTGTTGTGACAATTCCAGATCTTCTTGTTGAAGATGATACACTTAGCTCTGCAAAAGAAACAGTGGAGGGAGGTGGAGGAGAAGGAAAACTAGATGGAGATCAGTTTACACTGGGCAGTCTGGAGGAAAGTGCCCATGTTGACCCTTCAGACAATCCCCAGGTAGTTATCCCCAAAGTAATAATTAGTTTTCCTGCTACACCAACATCAAGCAACCTCTTCAAGAATCCATTTCTTCCAACGAGCCCACCAGTTGATTTGACAAAAGGTTCCGATGGAAATAGCTTCCCAACAATCTGGATGGGCACAGATGCAGCTACAGAGCCCAGGTCGTTGCCTGCAGATGCCTCCTTAAATTTGGAAGGGGAAATCTCAGAGAACCAAGGGCCCTTGAAAGGCATCTTAAGCCCTACCACGATGGCCACTGCGGGCTTACTGCTAAGTGATGAGTGGGATGATACCAAATTAGAGCCTTCCAGCCAGGCGAAAGCTATGCATCCTCTGAAGATAAACCAACCTCAGATAGCGCAACCAACAGGACAGGAGAACGATGATGTGAAAAAGGACCCGTCACCAAGATTATTAGCAACCACAGCAAAAGGAAGCAAAGATAATCAGAATGGGTCAGGCCAGATACCCATGCAGGTAGAGGAATCGGCCAATACAAGCTTGAATCTTGCTCATACAATTGATCCATCTGAGAAGGTTGGATCCCAGTCTGAAAGTCCAGGGGAAAATGTAGATCCAACAGTGATCATCAGGTCTAGATTGTTTCCTGAGACTATAACTACAACAGATGCAACCAAATCAGATGTCTTCCAAACCTTAAGACACCAATTAAGAGGTAATTTTCTCCCCTACCCCCTATTTGCACTCATCAATGCTTCTTGTTTTAAGATAACTTAAGAGTATGGACTACTGTTCAGTTTATGGTGTATACTGCAATGGTGCTATACATGATCCTTCCTTTTTTCAGGTTCCTCGTCTACCTAAAATATTTAGCGGGGATTTAATTTATAACAGTCCTATTTTTAACAATATATTTTCCCTTTTCAGATGGGCAATTGAGAGATTGCTTAGGCTCCCTTCTTTCTGCTCCTTATAAACTTCCAAATGCAGGCAGAGCAGAGTCTCAGAGTAGCTCAGAATGGTTGAGCATAGCTTCACTCTGACCCCCAGTGCCCTTTGGATCATTAGGCTTTTTTTGGTCACCCATATGATCCATTCTTGATTGAGTTTTGCTTGATAGCAATAGCAATAGCACTAAGACTTATATACTGCTTCACAGTGCTTTTACAGCCCTCTCTAAGTGGTTTACAGAGTCAGCCTATTGCCCCCAACAATCTGGGTCCTCATTTTACCGACCTCGGAAGGATAGAAGGCTGAGTCAACCTTGAGCCTGGTGAGATTCGATCTGCCAAATTGCAGCCAGCCAGCAGGCAGCAGAAGTACTGCAGTACTGCATTCTAACCACTGTGCCACCACAACTCAGTATAGGCCAAATTTGATAAGCCAGATCTGTTAAGTTACATTCCAGAAGGCCTCTCTTCCCCTTCGCTATATTTCTCCTTTCTAACCTATGGCAAAGCAACATCTGTACTTTGGCTTTCCTTAACCTAATGCCCTCCAGTTGATGTGAGATTGCATCTCCATCCCCCAAATTCCTAGCCAGACCCCAAATTGGAGAGGATGATTTTGGTGACCTTCCCACAATGAGAAGGTATGCAATGTATATAGAATTGAACAGAACAGAACAGAACAGAACAGAACAGAATTCTTTATTGGCCAAGTGTGATTGGACACACAAGGAATTTGTCTTGGTGCATAGGCTCGCTCTCGGTGTACATAAAATAAAAGATACTTCATATACAGGTGGTTCTCTACTTGCGACTGGTTGCTTAGCGACCATTCAAGGTTACAATGGACTTAACAAAAGGGGGCTCGCAACCCAGATCCGACGTTCTGACGGTCGCCTGCCCCATAGTCATGTGACTGCACTTCAGGAGCTTGGCAAGGCTGAATTCACAGTCATTTGCAGCGCCCCCCTGGTAACATGCCTGTTATTTTACAATGGTTTTGTCCAAAACTGAACACTTCGGGATTTTGGCGAAACCACACAATAGAGAATAACAGGTTTGCTTAATGACCATGGCATTGGCTTAATGACCATTGCAAATAAGGTTCATAAAATCAGGTTGGTCACGTGACCAATCCGTTTTATGACCATTACAACTTATTACTATAATGGCCAGGCTCCAGTATGCTCATAACTTGAGGACTACCTACGCTATGATAAAATAAACACACATAAGAAAAGGAGAGAAATAGTTTTTTAATATTTATATACCCTAAAGCTGGGGGCTGAGAAATAGTACAGGTAGTCCTCGACTTACAACAGTTCTTTTAGTGACTGCTCAAAGTTATAACAGCACTGAAAAAAGTTGACTTATGACCAATTTCCACTTACGACCGTTGCAGCATCCCCATGATCATGTGATCAAAACTGAGATGCTTGGCAACTGACTCATATTTATGACGGTTGCAGTGCCCCGGGGTCACGTAATCCTCTTTTGCGATCTTCTGACGAGCAAAGTCAGATTCACTTAACAACTGTGTCACTAACTTACCAATTGCAGTGATTTACTTAACAGCTGTGGCAAGAGAGGTGGTAAAATAAGGCAAATTTCACGTAACAGCTGTCTCATTTAGCAACAGAAAATTTGGGCTCAGTAGTGATTGTAAATTGAGGATTCCCTATACTGTATTATTGTATGTATATCAGTGGTGACATCCAATTTTTTTTACTACCGGTTCCGTGGGTGTGGCTTGGTGGGCATGGCAGGGGAAGGATACTGCAAAAACTCCATTTCCACCGCATTCCAAGGGAAAGGATACTGCAAAATTCCCATTCCCTCCCCACTCCTGGGGGAAGGATATAACAAAATCTCCATTCCCACCCCACTCTGAGGCCAGCCAGAGGTGGTATTTGCCGGTTTTCCGAACTACTCAAAATTTCCACTACCATTTCTCCGAACTGCTCAAAATTTCCACTACCGGTTCTCCAGAACCTGTCAGAACTTGCTGGATTTCACCACTGATGTATATGCTGAGCTTGGCAAGTCCCAGGATTCTGTCTGACTCAATGCTTAGTTTTCCTTGTTGATCATAATTCCTTAAAATGCAGGTTAAAAGCATTCATTTATTATTGCCCATTGCTGTCTCTGTTTGCCTAAGGAGTCTCTGCTGTTCCCCTGCCAGAAGAATTCTGTGCTTTGACTCAATGCCGCACTTTCTTTACTTCCATCTAATTAAGATCCTGCCTAGATAGGAACATTTGTTTTATTTTTCTTTAGATGAGTTTCTTTTGTTTTTTTTTCTTTATATACTTTTTTGCAGGGGTGGGGGAGACAATCCCTGGACTTCATGTGGCTCCAATTATTTTTCCCCCCCTCCAAATTAAGTTTTATGGCTTTCTTCGAAACTGCTCTTTCTGACACAAAGCCTCCTGATGCAACTTCCATCATTCCCAACCAGTCTAATAATCCAGTATTTCTGGAAGGTACCCAAAGAGTCTAAGTCTAAATCTAAGTCTAAGTCTAGATTTATTATTTTTTTGCTCTTCCATTTTGACAGCTTGATCTTGGCATGCTGAGGGATTCTATATGGAGGATGGGTCACATTCCAAGTAACACCCCCAACGAAAGAAGACTCCGAGGCTAGAAGTTCCTCAAAGTTCCATTTTATTAGAGATGTCATATTGGCACATCTAGGGACGTGATGGCTCAGTGGCTAAGACCCTGAGCTTGTCAATCGACAGGTCAGCAGTTCAGCAGTTTGAATCCCTAGTGCCGCATAATGGGGTAAGCTCCCGTTACTTGTCCCAGCTTCTGCCAACCTAGCAGTTCGAAAGCACGTAAAAAATACAAGTAGAAAAACAGGGACCACCTTTGGTGGGAAGGTAACAGTGTTCCATGCGCCTTTGGCATTTAGTCATGCCGGCCACATGACCACGGAGACGTCTTCGGACAGTGCTGGCTCTTTGGCTTTGAAATCGAGAAGAGCACATATGTGCGAGGGGAACCTTTACCTTTACCTTATTGGCACATCTGGGAAAACCCGAATCTGAAAGCTTCCAGGTTTTCCCCACCCAAAAGAAAGTCAAAATCCCTTCCCCTGCACCCATATGTCCATCATCTGGTCCAATCAAAGCACTGTCACAACTGGAGATGCCTCCCAGTCACGCCCCTCCAGGTGCAGGCCCAAAAGTCCTTGACTCTCAGAGAAATGAATGTTATTATGGGTAGATATCTCCACCACTCCATGCAATTCCCCCCTCCCAGGTTCCCACAGCACTAAATGTGGCAGCCCTGAAGATCCAAAGGAAAAGATGCCCTCCGGGGCCGACATGCTGGTTGTAGGTGATTTATTGAAAAGTCCACAAAAGGCTCAGTATTTACTGAGTTTACACTGTAAACCCAACCAAGAAAACCACATTACGTAATAGGTAAACCTATCCCCTGAGTGTATATGATGCTAGAGTTGGGGAACTGAATCCATTTTCCTATTGTCTGACTTTTCTTTTTTCCAAATTATTTTCAAATGTTTTATATAACTGCATTGTATAATAACACCTTTTGAAAGGATGGAGAGCATATATTAACCTTCACTTTCTATTGCTAGCAGCTAGCAATTCCTCTAGTTGCTCTGCTGCTACTTGGGAATTTTGGCAGACTGTCTTCTGCAGCCTCGCTTCAGTGTTTGGATTCCCTTGGATATTTTGGCTGCTTCTGTGCTGCTGCAGTGAACTGTGGATGGGCCTGAGTCCAAGTTGGAACCAATTTAACAAAAATAATCCTAAATGAATGAACTGTTTGAAAGCATTGTGGCAGGATGGCTGCCTGAACCCCCTAAGACCCTAACGGGACTTAATGATAGATACCCTCTAAATATCCCTTTGTACTCAATACTAGAGAACAGAGTGTGATCATCTGGGTCATAAACTATGTAGGCAAAAGCTACATAGCTTTGTAAAAAAATGTACTCATTTTGTAAAAAATGTACTTTGTAAAAAATGTACTCATTTTTTCAGCAATCAGATACAGAGATGAGGATCTCTTTTGGCTACATTTTTTTTCAAAACTGCAGAAGAGTCTGAGAAAAGTCTTCCTTAGCCTTTGAGAAGTAAAATAAAGTGCACTTTTTCTTTAGAAGGTGTGCCTCCTTTATTTTTTCAACAGCCACAAGGAGTCTTGAGGCACTTTAAAAATTAACACATTTATTTCAATATTAGTTTTTCTGAACTGCATACATTCTATCATGTTATTAAGTTTTATGCCGAATAGAATTGTTCCACAAGCTTTGGAAAACACTGAGGTTATTAAATGCAGAAAGGTAATTAGGGCTATGGAGTTAGTCCCAATCCATGGTGACTGTATGGACAGACATCCGCCATCCAAATCTATTCCCAATGAAAACCTGTAACTTAAACCATCCATTTGTCTCATCTGTTATCTCTTCCTTCTTCTACTTCCCTAAACCTTGGCAACAAAGTCATTTTTTCTAGTCCATTTTTTCTTTGCATCACAATCCCAAAATATTTCCAGTTATTTCAAGAGAGTCCCCTACGGATTTTATTCCACTAGTCCAGGGGTCAGCAACCTTAAACACTCAAAGAGCCACAAAGGTCCTAACTGGAAGCCCCTGTTCAATTCTGGAGTCAACCGGAAGTCCGGTTCCCCCATCATAGTCTTCTCCTAGTGCGGCATTCTTTTTCCTCTACCTGTCCTAACCGAAAGCCTTATCAATTGTGGAGCAGAGCAGCAACAGGGAGCTACAGCAGTGGGA